ACAATATGTTTATAAAATAACATTTTTGATTCTAATGTTACATTTTATCTAAAATATAAAAATATAATAAAACTAATATCTAATATCTTTGGCCTATACTTCTTATACAGTATTTTTAATAAGCAAGCAAATTTAATTAAAACATTTAAAAATAATCTTAATAAAATGAAATACTAATTAAAAAATTTTTACTATATATTCAATAATAAATTATCATTATTATTGAAGTTGAATATTCACACAATTTTATTTAATTAGTTTGAAAATTTGTATTTGTTGTGTCGTATAATTTAATAAACAATATTAACCACCAAAAATGTATTCATTGTCTGATTTAAACTTTAAAGTAAAAAATGTATTTTGGTTTTGAAAGTATTGTAATTAATAAAATCAATTAAATTAAAAGAATATGTTACAAAACAATAATAACGATTCCTTTATTGTGATAATTTATCAATTATTTAATGGTAGAAAATTGTATATAAAGTAAGGATCAATAATAACTTAATAAATAACAATTAACTAGAGATATGTCAAAACAAAATCAACTTTTGGTTGTGTATAAATTGAATTTTAATTAAAAATAAAAATTTTAATTAAAATAGAGAATTAATATGAAAATAAAAGTAATAATTTATATTAAAGTACTTGAGTGGAACACAGGGAGTCTAAAATAGTTAAATAAAACATTACACTATTCAATATAACAACATAAATTGAATTATAAAAACTTTAAGACTATAATAATATTTCGGAAATGATTCCATACTAAAGACAAACGATATTTTGTTTGTGGTTGAGATATCATCTAAGAATCTCATTATGACAGTACATTACTCTAATTGCGCTAAACAATTGCAATTTGTATTATCGTCGGTGTGTATCCTTATGATTTCACCATGAACTGGATATTATGAAACCTAAATACACTTCGAAATGGTCTAAACCCCAGCCCCTGTACAACATATAGCGAACCGCTTCTATACTCTTTGCCTGAGAAAATACGGTACTTATGAATATCAATATCTTTGGCATTGTCTCGACCGGCCACACCACACCTAAACAGTGGATTCATTTGATATGAATTGCTTGCAATGAAATAATTAATATTCATTTACTCACCGCTCAGAAGGAATTGTGGAAACATTGAACCCATGCATAGGATTAACGTAAAGTTTTCTTCTTTAGTGATGGCAGAGATTAGTATGCCGTAAGCCATACCACACACCCCTTGCATGACAATCAGTACTGAGACCCATAATATTGAGCCCCGGTTTGGAATCTCAAAGATTAGAAATGCGATCATAAGTACTGAAAATGTCTGAAGTATGACAACCATTGTCTGAGTCAAGACATGAGACAATATGTATTCGTTTGGATGAACACCTTTTCATAGCAAAGTAAACATGTTTATCAATACAGATGCTTAATATACAGTGCTGTCCACAATGTACTAGTTTAATTTTGTATAACTAATGGTTTAATATTGACCTGATACAAGACTTCTCTCGAGTAAACCGTCTTTACGCTCAAGAACTAGACTCAAAGCAGAGGTCCGCTACCGCGTCTTCTTACGTTCTCTATTATATTTAGGGCCCCGGTATTTCACTCACTGACCGCCTAGTGCTTAAGGGTCTTAACCTAGAAGCTCGACAGTATGTTAACTATAAGTTAATTTGTTAAAATTTAAAATCAATTTGATATCATTTCTAAAAAATATGCAAAATATGCAAACAATTACATGAATGGGCGGATCGGCTAAGGATTCCGGCATTTTATTGCTTTTAAGAATTTCTTTTGCAAACAATTGATACGATTCGTGAAGTGTTTGTCGTATTTTGTTGGCAGAGAATTGACCTAAAAATATATAATAAGCATTAAAATGTATAGTAATAGAGTGGAAAACATTTCTTACTGGTCATATCGAGGTAGAGTTTAATACTACTCATGTCAATGGTCTCAGCGTCGGTCTCGTATCCATCGATTGCTCGGGCTATTAATGCTTTGGAAAAGTTGGCGCCGATAGCTATGAGTGCTTTATTATCACCGTTTTTCACTGATTCGTATCCGCTCTCAAACGAATCGTAATTTTTCTGAGTAATTGTATAGTTATTGATGTTTTGCAGGAATCCTGTACTATATTTGGGAACTAATTCGCCATTAAAAACAGCGACGGGTATGTCGTACGGGTCTCGACCCAAACATAAGAAAAAGAGAGCGCCTATGGGTAGAGAATATAATTGGTTAGAGAACTGATTGAATTAACAAATACAGTGTCGATGAAAATAGGCATACATTGAACGGCGGGTACAATAGCGGTGAATATAAAAGCTAAAAAATAGAAATAGAAAAATTAGTAACTAGGTAAATAGTAAATTATAGTTAATTAAGAAATTGCCTGGTAAATTCCTATACATCCGGATGACATTCTTAAGAAAAAGTGCTTCACTTCTGGCGAAATGGTCGGCAATTTTGTTTCGTTTCATCAATATTTTCGACGGCTTTAATGAATTGGTTTTCTGAAGACTATTATTGTTAACGACTTTGACTTCATTCAACCCATTCTCGTCATTGGCAACGGTTTGTGTGTTTGGAGTCATGCCTTGGCTTTTGTCGTAAATATTCAGATCCGACTCTTTATTATTGCATAATCTAAGGAAGACGTCCTCCAAGTTGTGAAGATTTTGTCGTTTGATGAGAGCCTCAGGGTTGCCCTCCTCCAGAAGCATTCCCTGTCTCATGAAGGCAACTATGTTTGCATTGCGCGCCTCTTCGATATAGTGAGTCGTTATGATAACCGTTATGCCGTCTTTGGCCAACGCTATCAAGTGTTTCCAAATGCTCTGTCGTAGCACCGGATCGATGCCTACTGTCGGCTCATCCAACACTAGAAGCGGTGGTTTGTGTACCAGAGCTGCCGCTAATGACACCCGACGCTTCTGACCCCCACTTAATTTGGCTTTAATTTCAAAGTTAATAGTATTTTGTTAATTGCTAACACAGAATATTCTTAATTCATTAACACATAACTGTTATATACATGTACTATGAGATCATTTGCGTAAGCATATGATGGCTCACGCGGACATCAAGCCATTTGTGTGCGATTGGCCCAACTGTTCATATAAAGCGGTTTCCATGAGTTATGTGACTAATCATAAAAAGGTATACCATTTAAACATGTGTTTCAATTGGTTTTCATGCAATAGTTGTTTGGTTTGCATTGAATAGACTCATACGGGAGAGAAGAACTTCGAGTGCGGGTACAACGGCTGTAATAAGCGGTTTGTGAAGTCCAGTCACGTGAACCGACACCAACAGAAATGTCATCCCGAAATGATGGGCCAAACCATCATTGACTCCAATGAAGAGGTCGAGGTCTATAACATCAGTACAATCGAGATATGATTGTCTCTCACTCTTCGCTTTACTTTTATTTGTTTCAAATCAAAACTTATATAATTGTAATCGACTCTAGAATAATTGGCTTAAATTTTATTTATCAATCAAAACTCATTACACTTTAATTTAGTATTTTACTCAATTTCTCAATATATTATCATTTTATCATTTGTATTATAATAAGTAACTATACTGTACTGTACTGTACTGTACTTTAACCGATTGAAACTACTGGTATTTCCAAACTTTTTTTATAAATAATACTGTATTTAATATTCATATTCAGTCTATTTTTGTGTTAATTACTTTTTAGACAAAAATGTTGACAATTTGAATCATTTTTGTTTATTTATGCATCTCAACAGATAATATCCATTGTATAAAAGGAATTCAAATGAATTGATTGAATAAATTCTTTCATTATTTTAATTAATTTATACTATTTAAACGATAAGTCTATTGAAATGTGTATACCGTATAACTTATACCGTAATAAGGAAGTCTTTTAGACAACTTATGGTTTCATACAAGACTTGATTTACAACTTTTTAAAAACTCTTGTAAGACATTTCACCTCAAACTTGAATTTAATTAATAAAAATCACTTATTTTGATCACTCGGTTGTGAAATCTACTACAAAAACATGCGGTTAAGTGATGTCCGAACATTTTTCTTCTCAATCTTCACGTATTCGTCAATCATTTATTATAAGCAAAAATCTTACGACAAAATATCGGCGAGAAATGAATGGAAAACTTTCTACGACTACATAGTGGTTGGCGCGGGAACTGCCGGCTCTGTTGTGGCCGCCAGACTCAGCGAAGACCCCAAAGTCACTGTACTCTTGATAGAGGCCGGCGGCTCAGAAACGGTCGTCTCAAACACTCCAGCTTTGAGCGACTCTCTGCTCAATACGGTTATGGACTGGAGGTTTGTGTCCATCCCTCAGAACCATTCCTGTCTGGCAATGACGGGTCAGAAGTGTGTTCTGTCGAGCGGTCGTGTAATGGGCGGCACTTCTGCTATCAATCGTATGACTTATTTGCGCGGAAATCCACTCGATTTCGATAATTGGGAAAAAATGGGTAATTATTGTCTCTTTTAGTAAAGTTTTGTCATATATTTTTAAATATTTATTCTATATATGTGCCTAAATTAAGGCATAAAGGGCTGGTCGTGGAGAGATGTCTTTCCATTCTTTATTAGGGCTGAAAACCAAAGTGATGCCCAACTATCGAAAAGTGGTTATTATGGAGTAAACGGTCCTTTAGTTATAAATAATAATCATGAATACAATCAATTGCTTCAGTCGTGGATATTTTCATCTCATTTATGCGGTCATAAAATAAGTGACTTAAACGCCGACTATTTGGGTGCTTCTGTACTCCAGACCAACACCAATGAGGGGCGACGGGTGTCAATGGCCACGGCTTACTTGGAGCCAAACATAGAGCGTCCAAATCTACATATTTTGTCCAATGCTTTAGTCGTACAGATATTATTTGAGAACAACACCGCAATTGGCGTCAACTTTATGAGGAATTGGCATAACTTTGCTGTTTATGCCAAACAAGAGGTCATACTCTCTGCCGGAACCATAAACTCGGCGAAACTGTTAATGCTTTCGGGAATCGGACCTAAAAAGCATTTGGAAGAACTCAATATTCCGGTCATATCTGACTTACCGGTTGGCGAGAACTTTCACGACCACATCGGCACTTATGGCCTCCATTTCACGGTTAACGCCTCTGTTGAGGAGCCGCTGACCGTTCAGAGTCTCAATCAGTACTTTAATTCCGGTAACAATAGTTAAATATATATTTTTGGATAACAAATGTCTAATTTATTGAATATCTAGGTAAAGGACCATTAAGTCAAAGCAGATTTGCCGCAACACTGATTCAGTCTAAATATACGAATTGGAGTATTGAATGGCCGGATGTGATGCTAATGACCTCAACAACGAGTCCGGGCAGAGAATCTAACGCTGAGGTTACCGAACAAAGGATTGGACTCAGGAAAGAGGTTTGGACCCAATTTTATGGGCCCTACTCTGGTTTGGCTCAGTTCACCGTTTGGCCCATTCTTTTGAAGCCGCAGAGCAGAGGTTGGGTTCGGCTAAATAGTGTCAACCCTTCCGATCAGCCTTTAATTAATCCAAACTATTTGACCGAATCGAGTGATGTATTGGTATTATTGGAAGGAATGAAAGAAACGCTAAGAATCGTCAATTCTCGACCACTTCAGGGCTTACTTCCCATTCCTTTCGTAACACTTGTTCCCGGATGTGAGACATATCTCATGAACAACCAATCCGTGGAACCAAAGGACACTTTTAACGCCACAATGTTTACTGATCCTTACCTACAATGTATGGCCAAGTCTTTGACAGTAAGTGCTGGCGATTACGTCGGGACGTGTCGTATGGGTTCTGATGAAGACCGCAATAAAGTGGTTGACTCTCGGCTTAAAGTGATTGGAGTGAACAATCTTCGAGTAATCGATGCCTCCATTATTCCCGAGATTCCCACTTCTAATATAAATGCCGTCACTGTTATGATCGCTGAACGCGGATCTCATTTCATTAAATTTGACTTTCGATACAAGAATTTAATTATTTTCTAACATCTACTCAATAATCATATAATCATTATACTATTTATTAACATTAAATCTCATTCATACAATTGTTCGCAAACTTTTATTTCTCAAATTATCATACTTTTCAATGGGATTAAATAAACATAATTATTTAAAAGTAGCTTTTACAAAAGTTTACTGTATGTGGTTATGAATGGAAGGATTCAAAACATTTGTTTTATATTCAATATTGTACCTTGTAACTTTATAATTAAAGTGAAGATTATTTTAGATTACAAATAATTTGTACGGTGCATCGATTAATTACAAAATCATTCTACTTGCTCTAAAACAATGTAATTATAAGCTACAGTATTAGTAACATTTGAAGTTTTTTGTGTAATTTACAATATGTTTATAAAATAACATTTTTGATTCTAATGTTACATTTTATCTAAAATATAAAAATATAATAAAACTAATATCTAATATCTTTGGCCTATACTTCTTATACAGTATTTTTAATAAGCAAG